TTAGTAATCTACTGCTACTTCTGTCACCACTTGGCGGATTTTACAAAATTCTTTTAACTGAGGTGAAATGAAAAAAAAGACAAGAAAAGATTCAAATTTGTCCAGTTATTTGTATGTCCAAATTTTATAACAACTATGTTTTAATATTTAGTTATTATATATCAAATCACATTTTACCTATACTAAAAGGTAAGCTCGACGAGTTGACATAAAAATAAAATACTTTTAGACTCGAATTTTGAAATTAAATGTATTTAAAGAAGGAGATAAGTTATATCTCTCTAATCTATAAAACTATCATTTATAAGTACGACGTTTGTTTGGCTGATTAATAATTGATTTCACTCCCTAATCAGTTAAAGTCGTGACACAAGTAAAACATTGTTGCCTTCAACTATACGTAGCCGGTGATCCTTATATTCACAGTTTGCATTCTGTTGCCGCAAGCTCGCGCTGCACACCTTGGGGTCGTGAGTTCGCTGTAACTATGACGGTCAAATTCCAACTACGCGATGAGAGAATAGTCGCCAAGGGGTTGGCAGTGGGTTATGTTGACTAGTCTATCAGTTCGAAATTAGAGATGGTCATGCGCAGATAGAATTTTTGTAGTTTGGCGCTTTAAAAAATTAAATAAATACAGATAAATGAACTACAAGAACAATTCAGAGAATATCAACCTAATTACTTCAAAACGTTTCTTACTAGGAGTATAAAATCAGAAGATGTTCATCTTCATGATGTAGATTGCACTGAAAACAAACTAATTGTATTTCAACACATCAAAACCTTACATCCTAATTCTAATATTCTTTAGGCCCCTAATTGTTTGTATTTCAGATTTAAAATCAATCTACATTGCCACATCATTTATAAAAACAAGAGAATCCTCAACAGCCGCGGCGCTTGAAATTCTTTTAGGCAAGATTAGAGTAGATTGATCTGAGACTTGTTTTGTTTTCCTTTATGGTCGTTATATTTTTGTGCGCCAGCAAAACCAAGCATGGGGTACGTGAATACCCGATTACTCTACTTTTATACCCTCAAATTGAAGTTAATATAGGCAGGATTAGAGTAAATTAATCTATGTTACCTTGGGCGTAGTCATATACATCAATCAAAGGGGTTTGATCTCTTAAGCCCAAAATTGTAATTATATCTCAAATCAGTCAAGAGATGACGGAGATGTGATCTAAAACGTTGTATTTGTAAAAAAAAAAAATCTATGAGACGCTATGCTGCCGCTAAAAAGAGAACAAACACCAAAAGGCCTCATCTACAAAATCTCATAGAGCAGACGAGGGGTAGTTGAAACTACGTTTCCGGCTGAAAGCCCATACAATGCCTGCAGGTATTATGCGATAAGTACTTCAACGGTCTAAGGTGGTTTTTCATTAGATACTGCGACCAATTAGGCTTCCACCTTTCGACAGGTTTTGCGTTCTAGAATTTTGAAAACAAAAGTTTCTGAATCTTACTATCAATATGAGAATGTAACTTCATAAAATCGAACTTTAGATAACCGGTCTTGCTTCTCTAAAAAGACGTATCAACAGTCGTCTCCATTTTTAGCTTTCATAGGCTAACAGTACGCCCGTGGAAAACGAATATGGTTAGTGCTTAAAGTGCTGTAGGAAATGAAGAGACGCAAAACAAATGGTGAGAACAACCTGAAAATCGAACCTTCACCTCATGCAAACTGCATTACAGATTTTCAGCTTAAAGGCTGAGATATTTCTCTAGAATCACCGATATGTACTGCATGTTAAACAAATTAACTATTTTTAATATAAATACACATGTTAAGGAAGTGTCACCTAAGTTTAAGTCCCATGTATGAGTTTTTTATTGTTAAACATATAAATAGTACTTCAATAGTATGCGGTATATATATAGTCATATTAACAATAATACTTTGTGTCTGTCTGTGTGAGAGAGATAGAGAGAAAACTCATAGCTTTGGCACTATTATTCACGATGTTTCTATTTACAAGCACTGCTAGCGACAGTAAGCACTCGGGTCCAATCCAATCCAGCTTAAAATTCGTAAGTCAAACGGACGGGATTTTAATAGAATGTATAGTATAATAACGTACCTCAAAATATTCAGAAAATAAATATCCACAATCTGGCGAACTAGGCGTACTATCGAGGCCAGAATATCCAAACCTATGACGTTTATGTTCCGACTCTGCCAACGCAGACACTATAGTGGTAAAATGGCGACATCGTTGTCCTTTTCCTCCAGGATATACAACTTCAATAGTGTGTATTCAATATAATAAACGCCCTCAGCGTCAAACTAAGAACATTATTGAATATACTAGAGCCGTATTACGTATACAACGGCAGGGATTTTTTTTTTTGTATGTTTTTAAGCACAAAGCTACACAATGAGCTATCTGTGCTATGCCATCGCGAGTACTGAAACCCGAATTTTTACGTTATAATATTAGTAACACAAATTGTGTTACTGTTAGTGTTGGTTTTGAAAAAAAAGCGTCAAGAAGATCCAATATTCTTGCTTAAGTAAGTTATGATAGTATTTTGGCATTTGTCTATAAAGTTAAAATCATAAATAATATTAAACGTTACCAGTTTAACGTCGAATATTATTTATGATTTTAAGTAAGTTAGTTGTAGTGGGCCGCGTAACAACGTAACAACACACAAAATACCGTATTTTTTGGAATATAAGACGCACCGGTGTATAAGACGCGCCCTTATTTTGAAGACAAAGTTTTGGGGGAAAAAAAGCTACAGTCACATTTGAAAGATTTTTATTGAACAAAAATTCAATTTGATACTTTAAAAATTAGTATATATTGTTCTAAACACAAAAGAGCTCAAAACATCAAAATAGGAAAATACAGTAAATAAAAAAAAAAGTTTACTGATATTTAGTTTGGTTCAAAACTTACAAAATCTTCATTGCTTTCACTGTAATTTTTTTTATTATTTAGGGAGCATTATAAATAGTTATGTTTTTAAAAGAAAAAACTACTATTGTTATAACACATTCAATTGAACTGAACTATGCATGTCTATTTAAATATATTTACACATGGCTTGTGTATATCGTATATATATGTATATACATATATATATTATTCATACATTCGGTGTATAGGACGCAAGCAGATTTTGATATCAAATTTTGAGGTGAAAAAGTGCGTCTTATACACCGAAAAATACGGTAATATCCGTACAACAATTCGTTTTAGTACGTGAATTACGTCGTTATGTAATTCGATTTTGTAAAATATTGTGTAACACTGTGAAATTAGAGTGTAGTAATATCATTATTGTTACACCAGTGTTTCTTGGCAAACAGTGACGTGTTAAGTTTTCAGTCTAGCCGTAGGCGATTCCTAGATTTTCACCCGATGTGATAGAATGTCTACGTGGCCTCAGAAGGCCGTACATGTCAGACAGCGCACTGTTTCAAACTTTCTCTTCTTCTATATATGGAAGTTTATATTATACGTTATTTCAATAATTAGGTCGTCAATTCAAGTCATTCTATAGATTTAAAAAAATAAAAGCAAAGTAACTTAACTTTTGTTAACCATTTAGAATGCTTGCGGCGGTGAAAGCTAAGTAGATAATGAGCTGTAGAAAACATTTGGTTTATACACCCACACAAAATTAGTGTAAGAATTTATTTTTCTGATATTAGCGCAAAGCTACTCTAGGGCTATCTGAACTAGCCGTAGCTAATATAAAACTGATACACTAATACAGCTAGTCAAACAACATCAAAGCACTACCTTTTTCTGACCTAATAATATAATTTGACTGCCACTCTTATAACGCACCCACGGCCCCAAAGTGCGGATCGTGTAATTTTTTTTTTTTTTTTTTTGTCGCTAACGCTAAGAGAAATCTTTTTGAAGGAACTAATTATCACACAACTTCATGCCGGTAGAGCTAGATTTTAGAAGATATCATGAGATGATATTGAGGATCTATACGATCTAAGTTTAGCGCAATAAAAGACTAGGAAGGGAAGCGTAATGTTTATATAACATCTCGATATAAAGAAACAAGAATCATTATGAAACTCTTTTCAACACATAAACAACTCAGAATTGCGAATTACACTCAAAATCTAATGTAACGAAATAATGCTTATCTTTAATACCATACAATTTTTTTCCAGTCATAGTATTATATTTAATTCCTCACACTAATAGGATGTACATGATTATAGTATTTTGGCACTTGTGTATAAAGTTGAAATCATAAATAATATTCAACGTTAAACTGGTACACAATTAAAAACATTTTATTTAGGCCTATCTATAGCCATCTTAACAATAACAAAGTAGATAGACAGACATTAACTTTTTTTATTGTACTTCTCTTGCCAGCTGCCATTTAGTCGATCAAACCTGAGAATTTGAAAAAGCACTGTAAAGTGTGGAGTATTTAAATAAGTCAATGTTAGTAATATAGATAATAAATTACAGAAAAGACTGTCAAACTTTGTAACAAACCGTTGGTAAAACTTCCGTCTCTATATACGTATTGTATCGACTCTTATGATGAGATACGCACCCCAAGCAACAGCTATGTACATCCTTAAAACCATAACGTCGAAACTTGTAGAGTCGTCAACTTTTTTTTGTTATGTTACTTTGCATGTAATGTTTTTGATAAAAGAAATGAAGACAACATGTAGTACTCAATACTCATCTTCCTTTATTGAATCATTAATTTTTAGTAAAAATACTTTATTATAAATTCTATTTTTTTCTGTACAAATGACTTATAATGTTTACTGAAAGCTTGACAAATTTTGTGAAGATACACAAATCGTATCCTATCGGACGATGTATCGATACAATCCTATCACGGCTTCACGATACGATACTGGTATCGTATCGCTGTATCGCCACACCTTTAGTGAATATCATAGTTGCTTTCACGTGTGAACAAAAGCTAAGAAACCGCTACATAATTCATGTTATCTCACCCAAAAAACGAAACTACATCCCCAGTTTTGTGTGTATAAACACCGGAATCGATAACATGTTTACTTGTAAACTTTAATATAACATGAAATAGAAAACTAATTAATTTAACATAGAGTCATCTTGCACAAACAGTACTTATGCATATAATAATAGCTTGCCGATTTGTTTGTTTGATTGGTTGATTTCGCGAAAAGCTATACGAGGGCTACCTGCGCTAACTTTGAGGTGATAAACTACAGGAAAGGCAACTAGTCAATACCACCATCCGTCAACTTCTGAGCTACTCTTGTCAGAACGAATAGTGATATTTTACCGATACTCTTATAACGCACCTACAGCCCTAAAGCCATTTTTTTTTCGGCGGTAGCAAATCACGGTCCACAGATTCTCAGCTCTAGGTCACGCTCGATCAGCTTCTTAAGGGTTCGGAGGTAAACTTCGGGACTTGTAACGCTATAGTTCGGGGTTCGATCCCCGTACCGCCCACAGTGCAGATAGCCCATTGCGTGGCTTTACGCTAAAACAAAGAAAGAGTGTGATAAATAGTCCTTCAGAATATATGACAACTTTGAATAGAGATAATAATGTACTTATTCATCGTATTAATTTCGTACTTCATTTAGAGAAACCATTTTCAACTTATCTCTGCATATAAATAGTTCATTTGTTTAGCTGTTACTCCATTTTCTCAAAAACATAAAATCAAGAAATGATGCATAATATAAATTAACTAATAAAACTTTACGTGTAAAACATATATCTTTAATAAACTATATTGAAATTAATACATTATAAATTTGATATCTCTGACGATTTTCATTTCGTATCTTTACATCAACAGGTAATTAGATCCTAGTGACAATTACTGGTTTCTAACTACCTTATAAATCTAAAATATTTGGAATACATGGGAAACGAGAGACTGTCTTTACGTGTATTACATGTATACATAAATTAAATCTTATATCATCTCAAAACTGATGATTATTTATCAAAATGTGCTTTATTTGGAATACATGGGAAACGAGAGACTGTCTTTACGTGTATTACATGTATACATAAATTAAATCTTATGTCATCTCAAAACTGATGATTATTTATCAAAATGTGCTTCAATACTGTATTTATTTGCATATTCTTTACCAGATAAACTATATGGCTATATGGTTTCCAAGTTCAATTTTTATTTCTTAGAATGTATCTTTTGTTTTCAGCTGGTAGCCATACACTTGTATTGTTGTGTTACCTTATGAATTTTTCATCAATAACGATTTTGGGTATTAGTACTGTTACTGAAAATAAAAAAAAACCTCTGGCCAGTAAAACAAATCCGATGACTCCATAATTATGATAAATTTATTTGCAGTGAAAGTGTTCCGAGTTTAATCATGATCATGTGGTACGCAAATACGACATATGCTATTTTCCGTAATACGTATTTCTTACCTACAGAATTCGCAATTTTATTTAAATACGTATTTCTTACCTACAGAATTCGCAATTTTATTTAGCTTCTAATTTTGAAATATATTAAATCCGGTTGAAATCGTGTTCAAAATTCAGCCCGAGGTGTTACTTTTAGTAACTTAATTCATCTCCTGTTTCATGGGATAGTCGCACTGTGTCACACGGAGTAGAGATAGTTTCGGCTTTTAGAACGTTTTTATTCTGATGTGTCAGATTCAGAGGGAATATGTACTGTTCATACCCTTTTAGTACTTTCAAACAAAGGTTCGTTCCGCCTTTTGAGAAAGAAAAAATAGAACTCACTGTGAAAGTCCAGTCACTGTCTTAATGTTTCTTTCCCTGCCCATCGTGCAAATTCTATTTTAACTTCGTTTTACTTTCAAGTTAATTCAGTTTGATTTTAATTTAATTTCCCCTTCTCAACATCGAACATGAAGTAAATAGTGCTTAGTTTCGTTTGTCAAACTTGTTTGTCTTCGGCGTTTGTTCTCACATTTAACATTCCATCCGACCAAATATTTTTCAAGCTCCTTTTCACGCAAGGAAAGTTTTCTCCGAAATTATTCAACTAAACTAAGAATACCGCAATTAAAATGTTACCAAATGAATGTGAAATAATACTATAGAAACGTAGATTTTTGTTTTATCAGACATATAACCGTACGGGTGAAAAGATATGACTGTAATAAATAATTTGGCAAATTGATAAGTTTAGGGCTTTACAAAAATTAAGTCACACAATTGTATCAGGTGATCCTACTTACTTCATTAAAAAAACTTAGCCATATATTAACTTCCAGAACGTTTTTTTTTGTATTTTGTTCTACATCTACATGTGTGTTCACTAGGGGATTCGGCCCGAAAGAGACACAACTCGCTGATCCCAGCACCAGCCCAAAGTGGAATAAAAAATTTGTTTTTCCTTCTGTAACTTCTGATGAGGTAGGTTTCTTATCCGCAAGAATAATTAGTTTATTTACAAAAAATTGAGATCTATAATATTTAAGTAACTTCTTTTTAAATCAAGGAGACATTAACAAGTGATAAAAAATGTCAAATTTGTCAGTTAAATACCTTTAAAGTTTAAAATTGAGACAGTTTAATGTTTCTCTTTTGTTAGGAAAGAATTGTACAACACATTTCTTTCCCTAATTAATGAGATGTTTAAAATACGAATAAGTAGTCGTACAGACTAAAAGAATATTACACGGTTACTGTTTATACTGCAAGTATTACTTACCGCTAAGATAATCACTTTAAGTCGTCATTCACATGAAGTTTACTCATGTGAATGACGACTTATATTTCAAAGATTACAGGACAAAGAAATTGACAGTTTAAGATTTTTTTCAATATCAATACTGGATAAAGTTTTAAGTCAAGGATTCTTCAAGGATTCTTTATGTGATAATGCAGTAGCACGAAAACTGGACGTGGTAAGTGGACAGAGTGAATACTGGGTTGGTAGATAAATAATACAAATGCTGGAAGTGGTAAATAAATAATATAGATACTGGAAATGGTAATTGGGTAATATGAATGAATGGTGGTTATGGTTTGGGGGCAATATTAATTGGGAAAATGGTAATGGGATAATACGGGTGTCAAACATGGTATAGGGTAGCAGAAAGTTTTTTTTCCAAATTTACTGAATAAAATTTTGTGGTGATAGAAACTTCATTCACAGAGATGAATTAATGAAACGGAGCAACACTGGGCAATATAGTGATGTATTAATACTGGATCGAGATCAGTTATCTCTTTCTAACGCTGGATTAAGAACTCTGGCAAACTCAAAATCATTTATATAAGTTAGAGAAAGTAATTACGAACTCACTTACGATTACTGATCTTATCTCATTTAAGAAAATTAAATAAAGTAATTGGAAAAATAACTTCCTTTTTCAAAAGATTGGGTCACGTAAAAGAGCGACGCGGAATTTTCTTTTAAAAATAGTTCATAAAGCAATAAAACAGTAATTATTTCTTCTCCGTATTATCTAGACAAATTAACAGATTTTTATTCCAAATGGGGCGATGGGCACTTCCTTGACATTGCTGGATAAGATAATCTACCAATAGGAATTTCTTAACAAGTAACGTTCGAGAAATCACTGGAATGATATACATTTCTTCGTCAAGAATGCAGAATGGAAAATGGAGTTGTATAATGGCTGAGTCTTTATAAACCACTTTATGCTTAATCCTTTCTGTAGTTGCCCTAAATAGGTATATGTGTTTTAGCCATCGAAATTTTCCCTAAAAGCACATCAATGATGTCATATACCTCAGATATTGGCTTATAAATACAAATATGGAGCTTATAAATGAACAAGAAAGTAGATGAAGTAAATACACTTAAGCTATAGTGATGGTCAATCCATAAAATGTCATACGTACTACTGGGGTCCCTTATATTATGTCTTATTAAATTTAAACAAGTTATTTGGTAAGGAGTTTCTCTTTTCTTTTTTTTTTCAAATAATGAGTTAATCTAGTATTTAAAGAAGGAAACGCACTTTTTGTTAGTTCATAAAAAGCAGCAATAATGCACCAGTATAATAATGTACAGACATACAAAATATACAAAAAACTATTAGTTTCGACAGGCCAAGCTTGTCGTTCTCAAAGAACAGAATAAAACCTGTTCTCAGCGTGTGAACGATCAAGTACAAAACGGCCCAAGACAGTTCAAAGTTCACTAACGACAATAGAATGCTTTGTTTTTTTTTTGTTTTTG